AAAATATTTCAAATGAGACAAAGTGATTTTATTGTATGAATCAGACAGTGACCCCAATTCTTCTGGGTCACTATTTACTTTTCTTACACAGCCAGCACCAGCGACCACTTTCTCTCCTTTTCTGCTCCTCATTTCCCAGTTTCCCGTCTCTTCATTCACCTGTCTGTTTTATTGGCAGAATGATGACAGCCTCAGACCTGCATGCTTTGAGAGAAAATCTAGCATGTTCTAATACGCTAACCTTGTGGCATGACATGTATGTGTGTCCCCTCGGCCTCTACCTTGGGATAGGTAACAAAACTCCAAAACTGTGTTCCCAACCAATGGCTCTGTCACTGCCTCACACACAGGACCTCCCCATCCGTGTCCACAGCAGTCGTCCCTGTGGATGGCTCCTGCCAAGAGCTCCCCTGTGTGGACGGCAGTGTTGCGTGTGTTCTGAGACGGCCTCTTCCTTTCCTTACTGCCACAGGCAGCAACCTCCCAGCATCAACCTGCGATGCTGGCCCTCAGCCTGCCCCCCAGCCTGCCCCCTTGGCTTCTTGGTGAACCTCGGGTTCCGTTTCTGACGCTTTTCCTGGTCTGGACCTTACACACTGGCCCAGAGGGAGACACTCCTAGCCATTCCCCGTAAGCTGCCACTAAGTCCCAGAGGTCCCTTCTGGTTTCAGCACCAGGCAGCTGCCCAAGCTGCGAGCTGGGAGTTCTGGGCCTGATCCCAGCTCAGAAAGAGGAACTTCATCCATTCACTCCTGGGCTGGCCCAGCAGCAGCATGCCAGGCTCCCAGGCCAGTGTGGGGCCCACAGAGCCCCACCCAATCCCACCAATGGGAATTAGGGGAGGGGAGGGGAGGGAAGGGGAGGGGAGGGAAGGGGAGGGGAGGGGAGGGGAGGGACAGAGCAGTGAACCAGACTGGGAATGCCCAGAAGAGTGGATGTGGAAGCATCGTTGTTCACCAGCACCCAGTGTCTGCAGAGCTCAGCTCCCAGCCTGCCCCGGCCAGCTCGGCAACCCCCATCCTGCAGCTCTGCATGTCAGAAGCCATCGGACGGGGTGCAGCAGTGGGGCTTCTGGGCACATCCTCCTCACCCTGCAGCATTAAACCAAAGTGCTGATAATAACACCCAGATGAGCGCCAAGTGGAAAAATCAGAACCTTAACATCCTCTGTGAAATCCTGAGTCAGTTTCACGCTTTATAGGCTTTTTAGGATTTAGCCATCCCTGAGATGATCCAGTTATTACAATCAAATTCCATTTTCTCAACCCATGCAGCAATCCTCACACCAAAAGCAATTCTGGGAGGCGTAAGAGCTGTGACACGGCTCTGACAGCAACCTCCCCATGTTGATGGTCACTTTGTCCCGATGGGTTGCCAGGACCTGAGGTTTTTGCTGTTCGTGGTGTTGGATGGCTGCAAAGGGGTGACAGCGGTTCAAGCAGGCTTCTGACTTGTCCGTCATATCCCAAAACTGGCACTTTTTCCACACACACTGGCTGAAGCTTCCTACCTGTGGGCATGGCACCTTGCTAGTCAAAAAATAAGGAAATCACAGATTTTAAAGTATCTGTCCATTCCAAAAGCATGGATAGTTTTTTCTTAATCATCATGTATTCTAGAAATTGCTCGTTTTTTCTTTCTTTCCTCCCCTCCAACCTTCTTCTTACCCGCATTTTCCCATCTTTTATCCAGAAGACAAAAACCCTGTGGAGAGGGGAGACGTCAACTTTCCCTTCAGTTCACGGCAAGAGAGTTGCTGTTCAGGAGCTTAATTGTAAATTTGAAAAAATTAAAACTTGCTTATGCTCCGTCAGTAACCAAAACCAGGAAGGACTGTATCTGTGAAATACATATATATTTTTTGAGACGGAGTCTCTCTGTGTCGCCCAGGCTGGAATGCAGTGATGTGATCTTGGCTCACTGCACGTCTGCCTCCCAGGTTCAAGTGATTCTCCTGCCTCAGCCTCCCAAGTAGCTGGACTATAGGCATGTGCCACCACGCCCAGCTAATTTTTGTATTTTTAGTAGAGATGGGGTTTCACCATGTTGGCCAGGCTGGCCTCGAACTCCTGACCTTGTGATCCGCCCGCCTCAGCCTCCCAAAGTGCTGGGATTACAGGCGTGAGCTGCTGTGCCCCGCCTGGTTATTGCATTTTTTTTTTTTTTTTTTATGAGGCAGAGTCTCGCTCTGTCGCCCAGGCTGGAGTGTAGTGGCGCGATCTCGGCTCACTGCAAGCTCCGCTTCCCAGGTTCATGCCATTCTCCTGCCTCAGCCTCCTGAGTAGCTGGAACTACAGGCGCCCGCCACCACACCCAGCTAATTTTTTTGTATTTTTTAATAGAGACGGGGTTTCACCGTGTTAGCCAGGATGGTCTTGATCTCCTGACCTCAGGTGATCCACCCACCTCGGCCTCCCAAAGTGCTGGGATTACAGGCGTGAGCCACCACGCCCGGCCAGTTGTTGCATTTTAATCTACCAAGCCAAGCACCAGGCTCCAGGGGCACTACTACTAGGTGGCCTGTCCTTGGCTCTGACGCAGGCGCTTCCAGGAAGAACGGGCTGTGGCTCTGTGCAGCCTGCCTGTGCTGGGGCACCGTCAGCTCCCCTTGCTCGAACAGGATTGGCCAGAACACGCCCTGTGGCTGCGAGCAGCCTTGAATGCCACTGGGGACTGAGGTTTAGGCCTCCCGTCCCTTGAGCGGGAATCTCTGCAGAAAGGCAGTTAGAGGAACAAAGTGCCCTCTCCCTGACGGTCTATTTCCCTGACACCAAAAAGGAAGGTGAAGCATCCTTTTTTGTTGTTGTTGTTGAGACGGAGTCTTGCTCTGTCACCCAGGCTGGGGTGCAGTGGCGGGATCTCAGCTCACTGCAAGCTCCGCCTCCCAGGTTTTTACGCCATTCTCCTGCCTCAGCCTCCCAAGTAGCTGGGACTACAGGCACCCGCCACCTCGCCTGGCTAATTTTTTGTATTTTTTAGTAGAGACGGGGTTTCACCGCATTAGCCAGGATGGTCTCGATCTCCTGGCCTCGTGATTCACCCGTCTCGGCCTCCCAAAGTGCTGGGATTACAGACGTGAGCCATCGCACCCAGACGAAGCATCCTTTTTAAGGAGACCCCTTTTTAAGAACCTGGGGCAGGTGCGGTGGTTCACGTCTATAATCCCAGTGCTTTAGGAGGCCAAAGTGGGAGGATCACTTCAGCCCAGGAGTTTGGGACCAACATTGGCAACAGGAGTTGGAGGCTGCAGTGAGCTATGATCGTGCCACTGCACTCCACCCTGGGCAACATAGTGAGACCCCATTTCTACAAATAATATAAAAGCAGCGGGGGGTGGTGGTGCTGGAATATATACCAGCTATTCAGAAGACTGAGGCAGGAGAATCGCTTGAGCCCAGGAGTTCGAGACTGCGGTGAACTGTGACTGTGCCGCTGCGCTCCGGCCTGGGCAATAGAGTGAGACGCTATCTCTTAAAAAAAAAAAGAAGAAGAAACGTGTGAGATACAGCGTTGCAAATCTGGTTCCAACTTTCTCTGTGATTTTGCTGGAGTTTGTTCAACACTGAGCTCACAGGCAGGAGTGAACCAACACTTGTTTTCTTTGGACTACTTTGAGCAAAAATAGAAGAAAGGGGCTCATTTTTCTCCAGTGATTTTTTATTTTTCATCAATAGTGCAGATCCAATGTAAGTATTTATTCACTGGCCTGATTTCCCAATCTTTTAACTTAGAAGTGTGATTGCCAATTTCCTAGGTTTTTAAGAATACGCTGAAAACAAGCCGCCAAGCTTAGGCACCAGGAATCATAGAAAGTTTGTCCACGTGCTTGGATCAGATTTCCAGCACAAACTGTGATGTGTACAACTCTTGACTCTGAGTTTGACTTTTGTTGGCTGTTGTTGGGTGAACAGGTGTGTGAAGCAGATTAGTAACAGAATACAAAGAGAAGTTGTACTTCCGCTGGGAGGAGAATGGGCATTTGGGTTTTTGTTGTTGTTGCTTTCTTAATTTCAGCTCAACTGTTTAGAAAGAAAATTCTTGCTCTCTTTACCACTTTGTGCTGCACAGGAAGGTGGGAAGAATGATGTTAGACGTGCATATTAACAAATGCTCTTATGGGCCGGGCGCAGTGGCTCACGCCTGTAATCCCAGCACTTTGGGAGGCTGAGGCTGGCGGATCACAAGGTCAGGAAATCGAGACCATCCTGGCTAACACAGTGAAACCCCGTCTCTTACTAAAAAAAAAAAAAAATACAAAAATTAACCGGGCGTGTTGGCGGGTGCCTGTAGTCCCAGCTACTTGGGAGGCTGAGGCAGGAGAATGGCATGAACCTGGGAGGCGGAGCTTGCAGTGAGCCAAGATCAGGCCACTGCACTCCAGCCTGGGCAACACAGCGACATTCCGTCTCAAAAAAAAAAAAAAAAAATGTTCTTCTGGCTACATTTTTTGATCCATGCAAAAAAAAAAAAAAAAAAAGCTGGTCTTTTCTTTTATCCAGTTATCAAGTTTGTGTAAAAATAAGAAAGTATATCCTTAAATAGAATTGTGCCCTGGAAGGGACCCAGATGGCTCTCCTGAGATTAAAATAGTCATCCCAGCCGGGCACAGTGGATTATGCCTGTAATCCCAGCACTTTGGGAGGCCAAGGCAGGAAGACTGCTTGAGGCCAGGAGTTTGAGACCAGTCCGGCCGTCTTTACTAAAAATAACAAAAATTAGCTGGGAGTGGTGGTGGGCGCCTATAATTCCAGTGACTCGGGAGACTGAGGCAGGACAATCACCTGAACCCAGGAGGTGGAGGTTGCAGTGACCCAAGATCGCGCCACTGCACTCTAGCCTGGGCAACAAGAGTGAAACTGTCTCAAAAAAAAAAAAAAAAACAATTAGGGACATCATTCTCAATTTGTTTGAAGGATACTAGTTTTACCAATTTTGATTTACCAATTTATGATTCTGAGACGTTTCTTCAATTAAATGAGTCACTTTTAGGCACTCATTCTAATTTCATGGCTCTCAGTTTACAGGAACGTAACATTTGATGCCAATGAAATTCATTAGAATTCTGCACGATCCTGTGAACTGCGTGCCCATCTGTCTTGTATGTGTTTCCAGGGGTGGTTTACAACAGTCTTCGCCATGTACTGGATGGACGTGTACTTATGAACACTCACACCGTGAGACCCAAGACGGTCCGTCTTAAAACAAGGCCATATCTGATTTGGATTAAAATCCCCATGGAGAGCCTGATGTCACCCAGGAAAGTGCACGTCTACTTGCATGCTCTTGAGAAATGGTTGAGAAAACAGTCCTTCCAGCTCGGCAAATACCATTTTGTTTCTGTCTGCTCACCACCCTTGCATTTGCAATAAACCTGACAAAAACTTCGAGAGCGAAAATGAGGATGTTCATATTTGAAGGAGATGTTGGCAGACGGCCACAGTCTTCAAGTACGCAAGCTCATTCCGCTCTTGCTTTTCTGCCAGTAACTCCTTGGCCTCCGCACACGCTGCACAGGCAGGGCCTGAGGACGGATCATGAACGTGTCCGATGATCATGGACCCGCCGAAGACTCCCGATGGAGACGCGATGACTCACAGCCAAGTGAACTTTCTCTGCTCCTGAACAAATTGCTTCTCCTCCTCGTCCCACTCCAAAGCTAGAGGTGGGGCAACCCCAGCATCCCGGGCGTGAACGCACCCAGCTTGATTATCTGGAGACCTCATGCCTGCCTGGCATAGGCCAACCCAGTAATGTTCATTTAAAGCTGGCTTTACTGGTCCTTCCTCCACAATGAGAGGTGACCCTTCACTTCACCGAGAAAGGAAGGAAGAAAGGTGGGTGCAGGAAGGAAGGAGAGAGGGGGGAAGGGAGATGGACTGAGCGGGGTGAGAAAGAACGAGAAAGAGGAAAGAGTCAAATGCGTTTACTGCTTTTAAAGTGGATTTGATGGCCGGTAGGATTACAGGCCGGGCGCGGTGGCGCACATCTGTAATCCCAGCACGTTGGGAAGCCAAGGGGGGTGGATTTGAGGTCAGGAGTTCAAGACCAGCCTGGCCAACATAGTGAAATCCCACCTCTACTGAAAAATACAAAAACTGGCGGGGCGTGGTGGCACACACCTGTAGTCCTAGATACTCAGGAGGCTGAGGCACGGGAATCGCTTGAACCCAGGAGGCAGAGGTTGCAGTGAGCTGAGATCATGCCACTGTACTCCAGCCTGGGCGACAGAGCAAGACTCTGTCTCCAAAAAAAGACAGTTGAGGTCACCTCAGGAGACCCAGGGATCAGCTCAGCAGGGGCAGGCCCCTCCCCACAACAACAGGTCCTAGAATGTTCCAGAAACATTTTAAAAATTGTGTTCTATGATATTTGTCAACGAATTCAGCCTCCACTATCCCCACTCTTCTCCTGGTTGGCTGGACACAGCCAGACTCTCGGAAAGTGGGTGGGGGTGGGGAGAGTGGTCCCAGGAGTGGGGCCGAGGGTAGGAGGAAGGGACTGATGACCGAGGCTATAAATAGCCAGGCAGCTGCTCAGCAGCTGGTGCAGGGAATTGTCTGGACCAGGGGACGCATCCAGGAAGGGAACAATGAAACCGCACTGGTCCCCAGTCAGAGAGCAGAGAAGGAGGCGGTGGGACAAGGGGTGGAGTCGTTCTGGTCCTTCCTCCCCCTCAGGTGTGACTCTGCCCTTTTGGAGGCGCAGAGGGGAACCCTGGACAGCTCTAGAGGCAGTGGAGGGAGCCTCGTGCTTCACCTCTTTGTGCCCAGAACCCACCCCTGGCTTAGGACTGGACGAAAGAAAGACAGCCTGTCACCTAAACTTTTGCATCGGAGGAGTCTGCCCGCTGGGGCGGCCATGTTGTTTGCACGTCAGTGTAGGCAATTTTTTAAAACCCTTTAACTTTTTGTTGGGGTGCAACTTCCATCAGTAAAGCGCACATAACTCAGTGAGTTTTCACACATTAATGCACCCATACAACTATCACTGCGAACAAGATATATGATATTTTTAGAAGCTCAGCAGACTCCCTCTGCCACCCAAGGGTCACCTCTGTTTCCATCACTGTCATCCTAGATTGCATCTTCCTTTTGACTTCGGGGTTGAGTCATATCACAGAAATCATGCAGTAAGGACTGTTCTGTGTCTGGCTTCTTTCAATCATCAATCTGCCTAGGAGATTCCTCCCTGCCATGTGCAGCAGAATTTTGTTTCTTTTCATTGCAGCGTAATATTTCGTTGTGTGAAGAGGCCATGATTTCTCCGTTCCGCTGAGGATCACTTGAGCTGTTTCCAGTTTGGGGCGTTATGAACAATGCCGCAGTGAGCATTCTTGTCAGTGCTGGCGTATCTCATGGTAGGTTTGGAAATAAATTCTGATGGGAATTAAAACTGGTGTAACCTCTATAAAGGGCAACTTAGCAAGAGCTGTCAAAATTTAAAAAACACGTGCCCTTCTGGGAATTAATTCTACAGATCTGCCCAAACATGCAAAATGTCTCATGCACCAGGTTCTTCTTTGCAGCATTTATTTGCAAAAGGTGAGGGTAGAGACAACCTAAATATCCATCAATAAATATTTATCCATCCGTAGACTAGAATACCAGGCAGCCACCAGAAGGAACGAGAAAGCTCAGTACCAGCAGGACCTCCAAGTTAAGTAAAAAAGCAAGATGCTGAGCAGTACATATAGTTCTCTACCATGTAGATTAAAAAGGGATGGAATATATTTGCTTGTATTTGCATAAAATATCTATGAGTATACTCAAAAAATAGATAATATGATCTATGTATGCGGGACGGGGGGAAGGAAGATGTTTCCATGTATATTCCTTTGTAATCATTGAATTTTAAGCCATATGAATGCATTGTCTACTCAAAAACTCAATTTATTGTGAAAAGACTAAAAACCACTGAACAGTACACATTAAAATTCTATGGTATATGATTTAGATCTCAATGAAAAATGTATATTGAGGCTGGACGCTGTGGCTCATGCCTATAATCCCAGCACTTTGGGAGTCCGAGGCAGGTGGATCACTTGAAGTCAGGAGTTTGAGACCAGCCTGGCCAACATGGTGAAACCCTGTCTCTACTAAAATACATAAATGAGCTAGGCATGGTGAGGGGTGCGCTTGTAATCCCAGCTACTCAGGATGCCAAGGCAGGAGAATTACTTGACCCTGGGAGGAGGCAGAGGTTGCAGTGAACCCAGATCACACCACTGCACTCCAGCCTGGGCGACAGAGCAAGACTCTGTCTCAAAAAAAAAAAATTACATTTAAAAAAGCTCAGGCTATAGGGTCCGGCATGGAGGCTCACACATGTAATTCCAACATTTTGGGAGGCTGATGCAGGAGAATCACTTAAGCCCAAGAGTTCAGGACCAGCTTGAGCAACAGTGAGATTCCGTCTGTATTAAAAAAAAAAAAAATTAGCCAGGCATGGTGTCACACATTTGTAGTCCCAGCTGCTCAGGAGGCTGAGGCAGGAGGATCACTTGAGCCTGGGAGTTTGAGGCTGAAGTGAGCTATGATGGCGCCACGACGTTCCAGCCTGGGCGACAGAGTGAGAGCCTGTCTCTAAACAATATATAATAATAATAATAATAATAAATAATTAAATACATAATAAGGCTTAGACTAAGAGGGAAGGCAGAGCACACTCAGGTGCATTCGGCCTTCTGGATGCTACCAGGGAATGCCAGACTTCAGGGAGAAACAAGAACCCACCTGTTGTCAGGGTGCCCAGCCCAACCTGTGGCCCTCCAGAAACTGTCGTGGTCGTCATCCATTCATCCGTCTATTCATTCATCAGTTCACCCTTCAGAGAGCTGCAGAGGGCCTACGATCGCCAGGAATCTCTCCATGAGCAAACTGTGGGGCATTGGGAAGACAGTGGCCACAGTTAGAGGTGGGAGCTGCACAGACAGATGGAACCGCAGCGGCCGCAGGCCCTGGCGGATCTTTGGCCATCCGTGCTGGCTTGGAGGCCCTCCTGGGTTTCTTCACACGGACTTAGGGCTTCGGGGACCCTGACTGAGACAGCCTCAACCTGTGCTGAGCCTCTGAAGATTCCTGTAGGCGCTGCACCCCGAGTGGAGACTGCAGCTTGGCCTCCCTACGTCTGCACTGCCTCCCCTGCTGCAGGGGTGTCGCCGAGGGCCCGGGCCGTGCTCCTCCTATCGCAGCTCCTGGTCCTGGTGCCTCCTCCATCCAGAGACACAAGCGGCCTCCCGCGTCAGACCTCATCTCAAGCACCAGGCAATACTCATTAAATCAAAATGTGCTAGAACTGCAAGGAATAAATCTCTCACTATGATGGATTCCTGGGGTTCCAACAACCCCTCAGCAACGAGTATATTAATTCTAATAAAATGTTTGAAAATTCGGTAAAATGCAAGGAATCTCATTTTACAAGAAGGCAAATGGAAGGCACACAGGGAGTGACGGCCAACCTGGGAATTAGACTAAGGTTTCTTTCCTCTCTGTGCCTTGGTAGAGAATCCACCTCAGCTCCAGAACTTGCAGCAGAAACAGGGTCCTCTTCCCACACCCCACTTCTCGGGAAGGGCTCAAGCCGCGTCTGCCTCTGGAAGCAGATATCCGTGACTATAATGGCTCCTTGGAAGGCAGCCAGGCATGAGCTTGTGGCTTACATTCCTTAATGCTCAAGCACATTCCTTCATGTTCAAGTATACGTGGTTGGCTCCAGCACAGAAGTACAGAGCTGAGCAAAATATTCGGCGCCTTTTTCAGAGAACGCTGGCTGGTGCTTGTGGATGTTCCTGCACCTTCCTCCACCATGAATATATATATATATATATATTTTTTTTTTTTTTGAGACGGAGTCTCGCTCTGTCGCCCAGGCTGGAGTGCAGTGGCACGATCTCGGCTCACTGCAAGCTCCGCCCCCCGGATTCACACCATTCTCCTGCCTCAGCCTCCTGAGTAGGTGGGACTACAGGCGCCCGCCACCTTGCCTGGACTAATTTTTTTTGTATTTTTAGTAGAGACGGGGTTTCACCGTGTTACCCAGGATGGTCTCTATCTCTTGACCTCGTTATCCGCCTGTCTCGGCCTCCCAAAGTGCTGAGATTACAGGCGTGAGCCACCATACCTGGCCCACTATGAATATTTTTTAAAATTAAGGGGAGGCCGGGTACAGTGGCTCATGCCTGTAATCCCAGCACTTTGGGAGGCTGAGATGGGAAGATTGCTTGAGTCCAGGAGTTTGAGACCAGCCTGGGCAACACAGTGAGACCCCATCTCTACAAAAACTAAAAAATTAGCCAGGCAGGGTGTCATGTGCCTATAGTCCTCGCTACTCAGGAGTCTGAGGTAGGAGGATCACTTGAGCCCAGGAAGTTGAGGCTTCCATGAACCATGTTTGTGATGCTGCACTCCAGCCTGGGTGACAAAGTGAAACCCTATCTCAAAAAGAAAAAAGAAGAAAAGAGGCCAGGCACAGTAGCCCACACCTGTAATCCCAGCACTTTTGGGAGGCTGAGTTGGGTGGATCACCTGAGGTCAGGAGTTCGAGACCAGCCTGGGCAACATGGTGAAACCCCATTTCTACTAAAAACACAAAAATTAGTTGGGCATGGTGGCAGGTACCTGTAGTCTCAGCTACTCGGGAGGCTGAGGCAGGAGAATCGCTTGAACCCAGGATGGGGAGGTTGCAGTGAGCCGACATGGTGCCACTACACTCCAGCTTGGGCGACAGAGTGAGACTCTGTCTCGAAAAAAAAAAAAAAAAAAAAGTCCAGAAAAGGCAAATCTATAGAGACAGAAAGATCAATGGTTGCTGGGGCAAGGGAGGAGAACTGTCACAAGTTGAGAGTAAAATTTTTAGGATGTATAGGGATGTTCTAAAAATTGGATCATGAGCCGGGCACGGTGGCTCAAGCCTGTAATCCCAGCACTTTGGGAGGCTGAGACGGGCGGATCACAAGGTCAGGAGATCGAGACCATCCTGGCTAACACGGTGAAACCCCGTCTCTACTAAAAAATACAAAAAACTAGCCGGGCGAGGTGGCGGGCGCCTGTGGTCCCAGCTACTCCGGAGGCTGAGGCAGGAGAATGGCGGGAACCCGGGAGGCGGAGCTTGCAGTGAGCTGAGATCCGGCCACTGCACTCCAGCCTGGGCGACAGAGCCAGACTCAGTCTCAAAAATTAGCCGGGCGCGGTTGTGGGCGCCTGTAGTCCCAGCTACTCGGGAGGCTGAGGCAGGAGAATGGCGTGAACCCGGGAGGCGGAGCTTGCAGTGAGCCGAGATCGCGCCACTGCACTCCAGCCTGGGCGACAGAGCGAGACTCCGTCTCAAAAAAAAAAAAAAAAAAAAAAAAAAAAAATTGGATCATGTTGGTTACGTGACTCTATTAAAAAGCATTGCTTATACATTGAGAGTGGGTGAATTTTACTATATGTAACTATATCTAAATAACACTGTAAAAATAAAAGAAAGTAACCTGCAAGGTAGTAAGGCCTAGATGAAACAGTTGGCAATAGGATAATCATTTTGTAAGTTGGGTAATGGGTAACAGGATTCATTATACTATTATTTTTGTTTACGCTTGAAAATTTTCATTATACTAAGTTTAAAAAATTAATACTTGCTCCTCTGTGCTTCCAAACACCAAAATACATGCGATCCCATGAAATCACAAGCACACTGTATTGGCATCATTTACAAGCCTTCCTTTCTACCGAGTTAGTTAGTGAGTTTCCTACAGGCTGGGATGCTTTCCCATTATTTGCTCCTTTTTTGTATTTCCAGGATCTGACTTTGAAGGCTGGCAAATAGATGTTAATTGAATAAGTTATTTAAGTAAAATGAGGAGAGAAAAAACGAGAAATATCTAGTAACATAGAAAAGATCATTTTCCAAAAGCCAACTTGAGTTTCTTGAAAGGAAATCTTTGCAATTCTCAGAGCTTCGAGAGACCATCTTATTTCCATGTATGTTTGGCTATTGCCTTTTTGTTTGTTTTTGGATTGTCCTGCTTTAGGGAGAGCTGCTGTCAGTAGAAGCATGAGAAATGGATTCCTTGTTCTATTTTTTAAAAAATTATTAAAGCACTCTAAATGAAGATAATGCTGAACAAAATTGGATTCTTCTTCTTTTTTTTTTTTTTGAGGTGGAGTTTTGCTCTTGTCCCCCAGACTGTGGGTGCAATGGTATGATCTCAACTCACTGCAACCTCCGCCTCCCAGGTTCAAGCGATTCTCCTGCCTCAGCCTGCTGCGTAGATAGGGTTACAGGTAGGCACCACCACGCCTAACTAATTTTTTTTTTTAGTAGAGATGGTGTTTCACCATGTTGGCCAGGCTGATCTCAAACTCCTGACATCAGGTGATCCATCCGCCTCAGCCTCCCAAAGTGTTGGGATTACAGGCATGAGCCACCGCACCCAGCCTGGATTCTTCTTGATTAATTTTTTTTTTTTTTTTCTGAGACGGAGTTTCGCTCTGTTGCCCAGGCTGGAGTGCAGTGGCGCGATCTCGGCTCACTACAACCTCCGCCTCCCGGGTTCAAGTGATTCTCCTGCCTCAGCCTCCTGAGTAGCTGGGACTTGAGGCACGTGCCACCACGCCTGGCTAATTTTTGTATTTTTAGTAGAGATGGGGTTTCACTATGTTGCCCAGGCTGGTCTCAAACTGCCGACCTCAAGTGATCCACCTGCCGTGGCCTCCCAAAGTGCTGGGATTACAGATGTGAGCCATCACTCCTGGCCAACATTTTGTAATGTCTCAAAGTCCTTATTGGGAGTCTCCTTTCCCATCACATTGAGATAGGAAGCGGAACTTGATTCCTGGTGGAGACCAAATTGAGGACTAGCTAAAACAGGGCCTGGGCATAAGCAAATGTTCACAAGACCTGCCCACCAGTGCACTGGGTTGGTTTATCGTTGCCATGGCAACACCTGGGCGATACCACCCCTTTCCATGGCAACGACCCAGCACCCAGAAGTTACCACCCTTTTCCTAGATTCTGCATAATCTGCCCCTTAATTTGCATGTAATTAAAAGCGGGTATAAATATGACAGCAGCACTGCCTCTGAGCTGCTACTCTGGGCACACTGCCTGTGGGGTAGCCCTGTGTGGCAGGGAGCAGTCCCTCTGCTGCTGCTGGACACTGCCGCTCCAATGTAAGTTGCTGTGTAACACCACTGGCTTGCCCTTGAATTCTTTCCTGGGTGAGGCCAAGAACCCTCCGGGGCTAAGCCCCAATTTGGGGGCTCACCTGCCCCGCATCAACATTAGCATAGAAAATACACTTATTTGAGTCTGTTCTGATAAATTTCCTGTTTTTTAAAATATGTGATTTTTTCTTGCCAATTGACAGGGAGGCACAGGAAAACTTTGAAGAATCTTCCAGATGTGGCTAACAGATGCGCATGACCTGACAAGATAGATGTGCCACTTGGACCCTTTCAAGAGCAGACCGGAGGGAAGGGGGGTGACGTGGATCAATCACAGATGTGGGTGGCTTTATTTTTTATTTTTTGTTTTATTTTGAGGTGGAATCTCCCTCTGCCACCTAAGCTGGAGTGCAGTGGTACAATCTCAGCTCACTGCAACCTCCGCCTCCCGGGTACAAGTGATTCTCCTGCCTCAGCCTCCCAAGTAGCTGGGACTATAGGCACATGCCACCACGCCTGGCTAATTTTGTATTTTTAGTAGGGACAGGGTTTCACTATGTTGGCCAGGCTGGTCTTGAACTCCTGACCTCAGGTGATCCGCCCACCTTGGACTCCCAAAGTGCTGGGATTACAGGTGTGAGCCACCGTGCCCAACCTGTGTGTTGCTTATTGACGGACACACCTGAGAAAGTCGACATAAGGCAATTCCGTCATTGTGTGAACATCACAGGTGCACCTACACAGACCTAGATGTCACAGCCTACCACACACCTAGGCCACATGGTGTAGCCTATTGCTCCTACACTACCAACCTGTACAGCTTGTTACCCCACTGAAGACTGTAGGCAACTGCAACAAAAGGGTAAGTGATTGTGTATCTAAACACTTCTTTTTTATCGTTATTATTGTACCTTAAGTTCTAGGGTACATGTGCACAACATGCAGGTTTGTTACATAGGTATACATGTGCCATGTTGGTTTGCTGCACCCATTAACTTGTCATTTACATTAGGTATTTCTCCTAATACTATCCCTCCCCCTGCTCCCCACCCCATGATAGGTCCCAGTGTGTGATGTTGCCCACCCTGTATCCAAGTGTTCTTATTGTTCAATTCCCACCTATGGGTGAGAACATGCGGTGTTTGGTTTTCTGTCCTTGTGATAGTTTGCTGAGAATGATAGTTTCCAGCTTCATCCATGTCCCTGCAAAGGACATGAACTCCTCCTTTTTCATGGCTGCATAGTATTCCATGGTGTATATGTGCCACATGTTCTTTTTCCAGTCTATCATTGATGGACATTTGGGATCCAAGTTTTTGCTATTGTGAATAGTGCCGCAATAAACATACATGTGCATGTGTCTGTATAGTAGCATGATTTATAATATTTTGGGTATATACCCAGTAATAGGATCGCTGGGTCAAATGGTATTTCTCGTTCTAGATCCTTGAGGAATCGCCACACTGTCTTCCTCAATGGTTGAACTAGTTTACACTCCCACCAACAGTGTAAAAGCATTCCTGTTTCTCCACATCCTCTCCAGCATCTGTTGTTTCCTGACTTTTTAATGATCGCCATTCTAACTGGTGTGAGATGGTATCTCATTATGGTTTTGATTTGCATTTCTCTGATGACCAAACACTTCTAAACACAAAAAATGCACAGCACAAATACAGTATAAAAGATTAAAAATGGGCCGCACGGTGGCTCATGCCTGTAATCCCAGCAACTTGGGAGGCCAAGGCAGGTGGATCACCTGAGGTCAGGAGTTCGAGACCAGCCTGGCCAACATAGTGAAACCCTGTCTCTACTGAAAATACAAAAATTAGCTGGGCATGGTGGTGGGCACCTGTAATCCCAGCTACTTCGGAGGCTGAGGCAGGAGAATCGCTTGAACCTGGGAGGCGGAGGTTGCCGTGAGCCGAGATTGCGCCACTGCACTCCAGCCTGGGCAACAGAGTGAGACTCCATCTCAGAAAAAAATAGATTAAAAATGACACACCTGTATAGGGCACTTACCATAAATGGAGCTTGCAGGACTGGAAGTTGCTCTGGGTGGTGAGTGGATGTGAAGGCCTGGGACGTGACTTTGCACCACTGTGGACTCTATAGATACTGCACACTGAGACCACATGCAATTTATTTAAAATTTGGTTTTTTCTTCTTCAATAATAAATTAACCTTAGCTTACTAGAACTTTTTTACTTTATAAACTTTTTAATTTTTTTAACTTTTTTACTTTTTTGTAATAACACTTAGCTTAAAACACAAACACATCAAACATATTATACAAAAATTTATTTTATGTCTTTATTCTACTAGCTTTTTTTTTTTTTTTTTTTTAGATAGGGTCTCACTCTGTCACCCAGGCTGGTGTGCAGTGGCACAATCTTGGCTCTCTGCAGCCTTGACCTCCCAGGCTCAAGCGATCTTCCCATCTCAGCCTCTCAAATAGCTGGGACTACAGATGCACATCACCACCACCGGCTAATTTTTGTATTTTTTGTAGAGACAGGGTTTCGCCACCTTACCCAGGCTGGTCTCAAACTCCTGAGTTCAAGTAGTCCACCCAATTCTGCCCCCCAAAGTGCTGGGATTACAGGTATGAGCCACTGCGCCTGGCCCTATTAACTTTTTTCTTCTTCTGGACAGAGCCTCATTCTGTTGCCCAGGCTGGAGTGCAGTGGCATGATCTCGGCTAACTGCAACCTCCATCTCCTGAGTTCAAGCAATTAATTCTTCCTGCCTCAGCCTCCCACGTAGCTGGGATTACAGGTGCCCACTACCATGCCTGGCTAATTTTTGTATTTTTTTAATGGAGATGGGGTTTCACTATGTTGGCCAGGCTGGTCTCTAACTCCTGACCTCAGGTGATCTGCCCGCCTCCCAAAGTGTTGGGATTACAGACGTGAGCTACTGTGCCCGGACAGCCTTTTCTATCAAATTTTTTTTAACTTTTTAAACTTTTTTATTAAAAACTAAGACACACATACACATTAGCCTAGGCCTACCCAGATTCAGGATCATGAATGTCACTGTCTTCCACCTCCACATCTTACCCACTGGAAGGTCTTCAGAGGCAATGTGTATGGAGACTGTCATCGCCTATGATAATAATGTTTTCTTCTAGAATACCTCCTGAAAGGCCTGCCCGAGGCTGTTTTACAGGTGACTTTTAAAAAATATGAGTGCCCTCTAAGTAACAATAAGGGCCAGGCCCTGTGGCTCAGGCCTGTAATCCCAGCACTTTGGGAGTCCAAGGTCGGAGGATCGTTTGAGCTCAGGAGTTCAAGGCCAACCTGGGCAACTTAGTGAAACCTTGTCTCTACTAAAAATTTTTTAAAAATAGCCAGGAGTGGTGGTGCACACCTGTAGTCTCAGGTACTCGGGAGACTGAGACAGAAGGATTGTTTGAGCTCCAAAGGCCACGGCTACAGAGAGCTATGGTCGCACCACTGCACTCCAGCCTAGGCAACAGAGCGAGACTCTGTCTCTATAAAAACAAAACAAAATGAAATGAAAAAAGTATAGTGTAGTAAATACCTAAGCCAGTAACACAGTTATTATCATTACCGAGTATTATGTATGGTGCATAATTACATGTGCTAGACTTTTATATGACTGGCAGCACGGTAGGTTGGTTTACACCAGCATCACCACAAACTCGTGAGGAATGCGTTCCCCTATGAAGTCTCTAGGCCATAAGAATTTTAAGAATTTTTCAGCTCCATGAAAATCTTATGGGACCCAGGTGCTATACGCAGGCTGTTGACCCACACCTCTATGGGATGCACGACTATCCATCCCTCCCATGGGCTGGGCCAAGTGCTGGGCCTTGAAAAGGCATTGCATGGCACCGCCCAAGGATCCTATAACTGGGCCACGCAGGGGGTTGATGATCTGCCTGCGCCAGAGCAGGGAGACCCCGGCCGGCTTCAGGTCTCCCCAGGGAGAGCCTGGAGCGCTCTCGGGCGCCACCTAGCGCCAGCCGGAGCCGGAGCGCTCAGGCTTGAGACCCCAAACCCCAAAAGAGGCCCCGCGGCTTCCGGAGCCCCAGGCTCCGGGACCGAGCGAGCGTGGCCTGGGCATCCTGGGATTCAGAGCCAGCCTCTGGGCGCCCTCGGGACAGGCGTCCGCAGCCAGCGTCCCCCACGCGGCGTCCTGCCTGGGGTCCAGGCGCTCTCCCTGTTGGGTTTCTGGAGGCGCCGTGCCAGGGGTGGGACGGGCGCTGGCTCAGGAACGGGGATGGGGTCCTAGTCCCTCCTCAGTCCTCCCGGCACCCCTTTCTTCATGCAGGCGGAAGTGGCCCCAATGCCACTCAGGGGCTCTTCCAGCTCTGCAAACACGAGACCAATTGCACAGACCACCTCCAGCCCCTGACCCATCCTTGGAAGCCGCCCAGACTCCTGCAGTTTCTTAACTGTGCAGGTCACATTGGAGTCACTGTGAAACTTTTAAAAAAAGACAAGTATCTGGGTCCCACTTTAGACCAGTCGAATTGGGGGTGGGGGCGCTGGATGTCAGTATTCTTCCCGTTCACCAGGCGATCCCAGTCCTCTGCTAAGCGTTGAAAACGCCGCCTTACGCTTAGCGCGCGTCCCCTTTGCACGCCCATGCACTCCTTTCCTGCAAAATCTCACCTTGCCCTGGAAAGCATCCGCTTGGGGTCTAGCTCTGGTGTGTCTGACCGAACCTCTCTCTCAGCCTGGATGGTGGAGGCAGTGGGGGAGTTGGAGAGGGGCTTCTTTTAACCAGAGGCCTGAGAAGCAGTACTCTCTTTGCTCCAACTCCTGGTTAGCGCAAATCCAGGACTAGAATCTGGATCTTTGAACTTTTTGTACCGTGAATGTTTCCAGATTTAGCAAATAAAAATACAGGGTATACACGTAACTATGAGGGTCAGATCAACAATGAATAATTTTTTGGTATAAGTGTATCCCAAATATGCATGAGTTGGGATATATTACATTAAAAAAATAATTTGACATTTGAAATTATTTGAAATTCAAATTTCGGCCGGGCGCAGTGGCCCACGCCTGTAATCCCAGCACTTTGGGAGGCTGAGGCAGGAGGATCACCTGAGGTCAGGAGTTTGAGACCAGCCTGACCAACATGGTGAAACCCCGTCTCTACTGAAAATACATAAATTAACCGGTCATGGTGGCACATGCCTGTGATCCCAGCTGCTTGGGAGGCTGTGGCAGGAGAATCGCTTGAATCCGGGAGGTGGAGGTTGCTGTGAGCGGAGATCGTACCACTGCCCTCCAGTCTGGATGACAGAGTGAGAGTCTGCCTCAAAGAAAAAAAATAAAAATAAAATAGATAAATGTAATAGGGTATACTGTTTTTTCAGGCAAAATTACATCTATGTCTATCCATTTATACATATGTAAATAATATAGCTGGTTAAAAATTGCCCAGTGCCTTTTATCCAGGGCCAGCAGCTACCCTTCTCCCCAGGCTGGTGTCCACCCATGCCAAATACTGAGCACCCCTGGCTGGCCCTTCGAGAGTGCTTCCCCGCTAGCCTGAGACACCTCCACCCCAGCTCTGCCTGGAGAGCCTGGCTTGCTGCCCACTGACCGTAAGGAAGGTGGCTGGAGCCTGTGGTGTCTTATTGGACATGCCCTCGTAGCTGGGGAGCCCAGGGAAGCTGAGATGTCTACAGTAGTGTCCTTAACTAAAATGCTCAGCAAAATGGGCCAGCTACTGGCAACATAAAGACACAAGTTTAGAGTTTTATCCAATCCATATTCCTCTAGTTTCTTTCTTCTTTCTTTTTTCTTTCTTTGAAACAGAGTCTGGCTTTGTCACCCAGGTTAGAGCTCAGTGACGTGATCTCAGCTCACTGCCACCTCTGCCTCCTGGGTTCAAGCCATCCATCCTGCTTCAGCCTCTCAAGCAGCTGGGACTAAGACTACAGATGTACACCACCACACCCAGCTGATTTTTGTATTTTTTGCCTCACCACATTGGCCAGGCTGGTCTCGAACTCCTGAACTCAAGAGGTCTGTCCACCTCGGCCAGTGAAAGTGCTGGGATTACAGGCGTGAGCCACCATGCCTGGACGTATTCCTGAACAGTTTCTTGAACTTCCCCGACAATAAGAATCCCTGAGATTGGAGCCAGTTGCATAAATTTTAGGGCCCAGTTCTAAACGAAAATGAAGGACCCCTTATTCAAAAAGTTGGATCAGGCTAGGTGCAATGGCTCAAACCTATAATCCCAGCACTTTGGGAGGATGAGGCAGGAGGATTGCTTGAGCCCAGGAGTTCGAGACCAGCCTGGGCAACATAGGGAGACCCCTGTCTCTACAAAAAAAAACTTAAATTAGCCAGGCATAGTGATGTGTGCCTGTAGTCCCAGCTACTTAGAAGGCTGAGGTGGGAGGATCACTTGAGCCCGGGCAGTTGAGGCTGCAGTGAGCTGTGATCATGCCACCTCACTCTAGCCTGGGCAACAGAGGGAGATGCCATCTTAAAAAAAAATTGTTTTTTTTAAGTTAGAACAAAGTGCTATGAAAGTTGTTAACGTGTAAACTTTCTTCCTTTCTTCCATGGTCTCTCTCCCTTGACTCGTCACAGTGTTATTTTTTTATTTCTGTTTAATGTCATCCTACGTAAAGAAAAATAAAATTGTAAATTATCAGCATGAACTTTACCGTTCATCCATATATTGTGCAATGCCAGTTTTAAGTGCAAATATGAGAGCATTTAACTTGCGTGCAGAATCACAGAAATTACACCATTTGTGTTGTGCTTTTGTCCTTGGGCGCGCTGAAAGAGACCAATGCAGGCCTGACTCTGAGAGGATGGAAGGAGGAAAAGGGGGTCCCCAGGCATGGAGCTCAGGCAGGGCGCGTGGGGACCCTCTGCGGAGGTCGAGCCAGGCATCTCTTCTCCCATATGCTCACTGCCCCACTGCATTGCAGACAGGGACCCCCAGGGATTTTGAACATCTGTGCCAAGAGGCGCGGGGCTCACCAACCCCACCAAGACAGATATGCCCGGCGCTGTCAGCCCGGGGCAGGAATGGCCACAACCCCACAATGTTGCAGGCAGCACACCCGACTCCAGTCCTTCCCACACTTGTGCCCAGGCCCTCTGGGGACAAAGGATAAACGGCAGAGCATGGCAGTGCACGAGGCAGGGGCAGGTAGGGGAACCAAGCCTGGGGCATCCAGGTGTGGGGGGACTCCAGGGAGAGCCTTCCCAGGGAGGCAGAGGGTGGGTCGGGGGTGAGATCACAGGTGCGTAGAGCCCGAGCCCCTGGCACACATCACACTGTCCATCACTTACAAAACACACATTCGAAGATTATCTTATTAAGAATTTCAGCCCAGCGTGGTGGCTTACACTTGTAATCCAGCACTTTGGGAGGCCAAGCGGGGCGGATCGCTTGAGGTCAGGAGTTTGAGGCCAGCCTGGCCAACATGGTGAAACCCCATCTCTACTAAAAATACAAAAATTAGCTCGCCATGGTGGCACGTGCCTGTAGTCCCAGCTACTCGGGAGGCTGAGGCACGAGACTCACGTGAACCTGGGAGGCACAAGTTACAGTGAACCAAGATTGCGCCACTGTACTTCAGCCTGGGCAACAGAGTGAGACTGTCTCAAAAAAAAAAAAAAAATGAATTTCAGGCTGTTGACTGCTGAGGTTTGAAGCAAGCATGGCCCCTCGAGGGTGAGCTGTCAGCGGCTGCTCAGGTCTGGGAAGCTGGGCCCGCCTGGGACCCTTGCTGGTTCCTGGGTCCTGCCTCAGACCCAGGAAATAGAATCTTCGAGACGCCCTGGAATCCTAGAGTTAAAGAATGCACCAGGCGGTTATTATCAGGGAGTTGGGAGCCAATGCCCCAGGTTTCCAGATCTGGGGATCATTAGATTCCTGTGCCCCCTCCCCTGCTGACTCACATTGAAAATCCCTAAATTCTGCTCTCCTCTTCCCTCCCCACCACTGCATGGAATTCTGCTAGATTTTTAGAGCCGCTCTGCCTGGATCCCGTAAGTGCCACCCCTACTATCCACTAGCTGCGTGATTATAAACAAGCTGTGTAAACTCTCTGTGCCTCACTTTTCTTATCTGTGAATGGGGGGAGGATAATTGAACCTTCCTCCTGGAGTTGTAAGGATTCAGTGCGTTGCTGTAGACAAAGTGTTCAGAATGATGTCGGCTACATTGTAAGTCCAAAGTAATAGCTGTAGCTGTTTTTATGACCACGGGTTCTCAGCGCAGGGCTGCGTATGACAATAACTGTTGTTTGCTTTCTTTGTTTGTTTTTAGTTTGTTTTTAAATACCAGTGCCTGGGTCTCACTGGAGAACAATGACATGCGAATCACACAGTGATTCTGATGCATGAGGACTGAGGCACGCTGATACTGAATTGGGATTCGCTTTGTTCATTCCCGTGTGTGTCATGGAGTTCCTTCCTTATATGAGGATATACAGATCCACACTATCATTTTTAAAAACTTTTTATTTTTGAGGCCTGACCTGGTGCCTTATGCCTGTAATCCCAGCCGTTTGGGAGGCCGAGGTGGGCGGATCACCTGAGCTCAAGAGTTCAAGACCAGCCTGGCCAACATAGTAAAACCCCGTCTCTACTAAAAATACAAAAATTAGCTGTGTATGGTGGTGGGTGCCTGTAATCCCAGCTACTAAGGAGGCTGAGGCAGGAGAATCGCTTGAACCCAGGAGACGGAGGTTGCGGTGAGCCGAGATGGTACCACTGCATTCCAGCCTGGGTGACAGAGTGAGACTCTGTCTCAAAAAAAAAAGAAAAAATAATAACTTTTTATTTTTGAGGTAGTTACCCTATCATTTTAACTGCTTTATGTATTCCATGGCACAGACACATCACAATCTAGTTAATCCCATGTATTTTTGGTGTTTTGTTTTTGCTTTTTGAGATAGGATCTGGCTTCGTCGCCCAGGCTGGAGTGCAGTGGCACAATCACGGCTCACTGTAGCCTCAACATCCTGGGCTCAAGCAATCTTCCCACCTCAGCCTCCCAAGTAGCTGAAGTGTATGCCACTATGCCCAGATGATTTTTTAATTTTTGTAGAGACAGGTGTTTCATTGTGTTGCCCAGGCTGCTCTCAAACTGGCAGACTCAAGCAATCTGCCTGCCTTGGCCTCCCAAAGTGCTGGGATTATAGGTGTGAGCCACCATGGCAGGCCTAATCCCATGTTATTGCTATTGGCCTAATCCCATGTTATTGCTATTGTTCCACTGTGCTCATCCCAAAACTCTGTGAGATAAAACTATATCCCCCTTTATGCCCAGGGATCGCCCCAGTCAAGTTCAGAGATGTTAAACACCTTATCCAAGGTCACACAGTTAGAAAATAGCAAAACAGATAATGGATCCAGTCTTTTTTTTTTTTTTTTTTTTTGAGGCAAGGTGTCACTCTGTCACCCAGGCTGGAGTGCAGTAGCGTGGTCATGGCTCACTGTAGACTCAAACCTCCCAGGCTCATGGCATCCTCCCACCTCAGCTTCCTGAGTAACTGGTACCACAGCTGTGTGCCACCAAGCCCAGCTAATTTTTACATGTTTTGTAGAGACGAGGTCTCCCTAAATTACCCAGGCTGGTCTCAAACTCCTGGACTCAAGCAATCCTCCTGCCTTGGCCTCCCAAAATGCTGGGATTATAGACGTGAGCCACAGCACCCAGCCTGAACTTTTTGATTGCTTATGTTTTTGGGGATTAGTTTGCCAAGTTGTATTTTTTCAAAAGAACTGTTGGGATGTTCACTGGGGTTACACTGGATCCGTAGATCAGTCTGAAAATTGATGTACTTTCATTATTGAATCTTCTTATCAATGAATGTTTTATTGTATCTCTCCATGTTTTGAGGACTTTTAAAAATTTCTTGTAATAACTTAATTTTTTGTTTCCTATTTACAGGTCTTTGCATATCTTTTGCTCGTTTTAGTCCTAGGCAATGACATATTTTAAAGGTATTGTAAATCAAATCTCTTTTAAATGTATTTTTCTGTTTACTTTCTAAATGCTCTTGATTTCTGTATATTGACTCTATATCCATTAACCTTGCTAACATCTTTTAACTTTAATGTTTATCAGTAGATTCTTTTGGATTTTCTTCAAATAGAATTGTTATATAAGAATAATGGCTCTTAGCCGGGCTCAGTGGCTCACGCCTGTAATCCCAGCACTTTGGGAGACCAAGGGAGGTGGATCACCCGAGGTCAGGAGTTCAAGACCATCCAGCCTGATCAACATGGTGAAATCCCTTCTCTACTAAAAATACAAAAACGGGCATGGTGGCGCATGCCTGTAACCCCAGCTACTTTGTAGGCTGAGGCAGGAGAAAGGCTTGAACCTAGGAGGTGGAGGTTGCAGTGAGCCGAGATTGCGCCATTGCACTCCAGCCTGGGTAACAAAAGCAAAACTTCGTCTTAAAAAAAGAATAATAAATAAAATAAATAATGATTGTTTTAGGTGGGTTTTTCCCCACTTCCTAACCCTTTATACTTTTTTTTTTTTTTTTTTTTTAAAGAGACAGGGTCTTCTTTTGTCACCCAGGCTAGAGAGCAGTGGTACAATCATAGCTTACTGTAACCTTGAACTCCTGGGCTCAAACGATCCTCCTGCCTCACCCTCCTGAGTAGCTGGGACTACAGGCATGCATCACCATGCCCAGCTAATTTTTTGTAGACACAGGGTCTCACTATATTGCCCAGGCTGTTTTCAAACTCCTGGCCTCAAGCTGTCCTCACGCTGTGGCCCTCTCAAAACACTTGGCTTCAGTTTGGCTTCTCAAAGTACAGGCAGGAGCCACCACACCGGCTGAATTTCCTCCTTCAGTCTATTACCATGGTGGGGTCTATCCACTGATTTCCTAATGTTACACCAAAGCTGCATTCCTGGAATAAATCCAATATGGTCGTTATGTATAATCCTTTTATATGTTGCTTGATCTGACTTGCGAATATTTTGTCTAGGATATTTGCAGTTATATTATGAGTGAAATCATCTGTATCTTTCTTTCTTTCTTTTCTTTCTTCTTTCTTTCTTCTTTCTTCCTTCTTCTTTCTTTCTCTCTCTCTCTCTCTCTCTCTCTCTCTCTCTTTCATCTGTTCTTGTTGGGTGTTAGTATAAAGGTTATGCTAGTCTCCCAAAATTAGTTCGTGATTCTTTTTCTGCTCTCTGGAAAAATATGTTATAACTTAGCTTTATTTCTTTCTTCAATGTTTAGTCTTATTCCCTAATGAAGGAATTTTGTCCCCGAGTTTTTACCATAGCATGTTTTTAAATTGCAGTGTAGTTTATTTGATAGTTACAGGACTAAGATTTTCTTTTTTTTTTTTTCTTTTGAGACGAAGTCTCAGTCTTGTCCCCCAGGCTGGAATGTAATGGTGCGATCTCAGCTCACTGCACCCTCCTCTTCCCAGGTTCAAGCAATTCTCCTGCCTCAGCCTCCTGAGTAGCTGGGATTCCAGGCGCCCGCCACCATGCCCGGCTAATTTTTGTATTTTTAGTAGAGATGGGGTTTCACCATGTTGGCCAGGCTGGTCTCGAACTCCTGACCTCAGGTGATCCGCCCGCCTCAGCTCCCAAAGTGCTGGGATTATAGGCGTGAGCCACCATGCCCAGCTTTTTCTTTTTCTATTTTCTTTTTCTTTTCACAGATGCCTTTGGTGAAAACTGTCAATTCATTTCCTTTTAATCATTCTCATAAGGTGTTAGTCAATTTTATTAGTGGTTTCAATTTTGGCTTTGTTGATTCTCTCTGTTGTGTGTTTGTTTTTATACTTATTATAGATTTAAATCATTTCCTCCTGTCTACTTTTGTTGGGTTTCTTGGGTTGTCCTTTTCCTGACATCTTAAAATTAATGGGCTTAGCTCATTCTATTTTAAGCCTTTCTTCTTCCCTAAAATACGCAATTAAGGCTATAAATTTCCCTCCAAGCACTGCATTAGCTTTACTCCATAAGGTTTGTTGTATTTTGTCTTTCATTACATATAGTATAGTTCACAGTAATTTCAAATTTCCATTTTTATTTCTTCTGAAACCCATGCGTTATTTGGAAGTATATTTTAGAAGCATGTTACTCGAAAGTATCGTTTTCAAAGATACAGGGACTTTTTAATATTTTTGTTATCGATTCTTAAACTATTTGCAATATGTTAGGATAACATTATCTGCTTTATTTTAATCCTTTGAAATGTGTTGAAACTTGCATTTTGGCCCAGCAGATCATCATATTTTAAAATGGATGATATCTTCTTGAAAATAACATATTTTTCACTTGTTGGATGCACAGTTCTCCATATGTTCATACAACAAGATTGTTCATTATGTTGTTTCAAATCTTCTACAGTGTTATTGATTTCTTGTCTGCCTGTTCCATTGATTACTGAAAAAGCTGTGTCAGACATCCCGCTATGAATATGGACCTGTCTATTTCTCCATATAATTCTGTTCACATTTGCTCTATGTATCATGTAACTAGGTACATACAAATTTAGAATAATCATTTATTATTATAGAGTGACCCTCCTTACCCTCCTTAATTCTAGAGACTTTTTTTTTTCTTTATCAAGCAAACATATGTTTGCTTGATATTGGGATTTACTACACTGGCTGACCTAATAGTATTTCAATTGTATATAATTTTTTATTATTTTCCTTTCAGTCTTGCTTTATCTCTCAGTATTACATGTGTCTCTTGTATTTAATATGTGTTGGATTTGGTGTCTATCCAGTATGATAATCTTTGTCTTTTAGCTGGAGCATTTAACCCACTTACCATTAATGTAATTATTGATATGCAGTTTGCCATGAATGGGCTTTCTATTCATCACTGATTCTCAATAAGTCCTTTTTTTTTTTTTGAGACGGAGTCTCACTCTGTCGCTCAGGCTGGTGTGCAGTGGTGTGATCTCAGCTCACTGCAACCTCTGCCTCCAGGTTCAAGCAGTTCTCCTGCCTCAGCCTCCTGAGTAGCTGAGATCACAGGCACCTGTCACCATGCCTGGCTAATTTTTGTATTTTTAGTAGAGACGGGGTTTCACCACATTGGCCAGGCTGGTCTCGAACTCCTGACCTCAAGTGATCTGCCTGCTTCAGCCTCCCAAAGTGCTGGGATTACAGGCATGAGCCACTGCTCCTGGCCTTCTCTGTTCTTTTATCTAATTTTGCCTTTGTTTAGTTTGGTTGAATTTTTACATTTTCATTTTGTTCCTGTGTTAGTTTGAGAGTTATTCAGTTTTTTTTTTTTTACCATTTTTAGTAATTATTCTAAAAATTACAATAAGCGTTTGGGCATGGTGGTTCACACCTGTAATTCTAGCACTTTAGGAGGACAGATCACTTGAGGTCAGGAGTTCAAGGCCAGCCTGGCCAACATGGTGAAACCCTGCCTCTACTAAAAATATGAAAATTACTCAGGCATGGTAGCACATGCTTATAATCCCAGCTACTTGGGAGGCTGAGGCGGGAGGATCATTTGAACCCAGGAGGCAGAGTTTGAAGTGAGCTGAGATCGTGCCACTGCACTCCAGCCTGAGCACCAGAGTGAGACATTTTTATCCCTTTTCATTCCTTCCTCTATCCCCAACCTCCCCTCTGGGACAATTTTTGCTTCTGCCTGAAGAACACCCTAGACTTCTCTTTACTGAAGAACTTTTCCACTGAGTAAAATTCTAGTTTGGCAAGTTTGCTTGTGTTCTTTAGTTTTCTTTCCAACAGATTGAAGATATTATTCTGCTACTTCTAGCTTCCATTGTTGCTGCTCAAAAGTCAGCAAAAGTTGTACTTTCTTTTTTTTTTTTTTAGACAGAATCTTGCTCTGTCCCCCAGGCTGGAGTGTGATGGCACAATCTCGGCTCATACCACCTCCCAGGTTCCGGTGATTCTCCTGCCTCAGCCTCCTGAGCGCTAGAATTACAGGCACGCGCCACCATGCCTGGCTAATTTTTTTTTTTTTTTTTTTTTTTTTTTGAGACGGAGTCTCACTTTGTGGCCCAGGCTGGAGTGCAGTGGTGCGACCTCGGCTTACTGCAACCTCCGCCTCTCGGGTTCAACCAATTCTCCTACCTCAGCCTCCCAAATAGCTGAAATTACAGGTGCCCACCACACGCCTGGCTAATTTCTTTGTATTTTTAGTAGAGACAGGGTTTCACCATGTTGGCCAGGCTGGTCTCGAACTCCTGACCTCAGGTGATCCACCCTCCTCAGCCTCCCAAAGTGCTGGGATTACAAGAATGAGCCACCATGCCCGGCCTGCCCCTCCCTTCCTCCCTTCCTTTCTTCTTTCCTTCCTTCTTGTTGTTGTTTCAGGTTCACAGCAAACTGAGCAGAAAGCAGAGAGAATTCTCATACACCCATTTCCCCACATACGTACAACCTCCCGACGATCAATATCCCGCCCTGGAGTGGTATGTTTGTTACAGTCAATAAATCTACACTGGACAGCACTTTGGAAGGCCAAGGCAAGAGGATTGCTTGAACCCAGGAGTTCAAGACCAACCTGGGCAACAGAGCAAGACCTTGTCGGTAGGTAGGTAGGTAGACAGACAGATAGCATCAGTCTACACTGACACGCCATCATTACCTGAAGTCCACAGTTAACATCAGGGTTCGCTCTTGGTGTTGTACATCCTATGGGTTTGGACAAATACATAATGATGTGAATCCACCACTATAGTATCATACAGAATAGTTTCACTGCCCTAAAAAATCCTCTGTGCATCACCTATTCATCCCTCCCTCTTCCTTAACCCCTAAAAACTAGTGATCCTTTTACTGTCTCCATAGTTGTATAGCTTTGCCTTTTCCAGAGTGTCACATAGTTGGAATCATATACTATGTGATCTTTTCAGGTTGGTGTCTTTCACTTAGTAACACGTGTTTATAGTTCGTCAATGGCTGGGCACAGTAGCTCACCCCTGTAATCCCTGCACTTTGGGAGGCCGAGGCGGGCGGATCCTCTGAGGTCAGGAGTTCGAGACCAGCCCGATCAACATGGTGAAACCCCATCTCTACTAAAATACAAACATTAGCCAGGCATGGTGGCGCATACCTGTAATCCCAGCTACTCGGGAGGCTGAGGCAGGAGAATCACTTGAACTGGGGAAGCAGAGGTTGCAGTGAGCAGAGATTGTGCCACTGCACTCCAGCCTGAACAACAGAGCAAGACTCCGTCTCCATAAATAAATAAATAAATAAAAAATAATGGCTGGGTGTAGTGGCTCACATCTTTAATCTTAGCACTTTAGGAGGCTGAGGCTGGAAGATTGCCTAAACCCAGGAGTTCAAGACCAGCCTGGGCAACATGGTAAGACCCCATCTCTGTTTTAATAAAGTTAAAATTTTTATTAAAAAAAGTTCCTCCATGTCTTTTCATGACTTGATAACTTTTTAGCACTGAATAATATTCCATTGAATTTCTTTTTAGCACTGAATAATATTCCATTGAATTTCTTTTTAGCACTGAATAATATTCCATTGAATTTTTTTTTAGTACTGAATAATATTCCATTGAATTTCTTTTTAGTACTGAATAATATTCCGTTGTCTGGATGTGCCAAGGTTTAGTTATCCCTTCACCTACTGAAGGACATCTTGGGTGTGTCCAAGTTTTAACAATTATGAATAACGCTGCTATAAACATCTATGTGCAGATACTTGTGTTGAACTAAGTTTTCAACTCATCTGGGTAAATGCCAAGGCATGTGATTGCTGGATCATATGGTATGTTCAGCTTTGTAAGAACCTGTGACACTGTCTACCAAAGAGACTGTACCATGTTGCATTTCCACTGGCAATGAATGAACATTCCTGTTGCTCTGCATCCTCACCAGCATTTGGTGGTGTCAGTGTTCTAGATTTGGGCCATTCTAATAGGTGTGTAGTGGTATCTCATTGTTGTTTTATATTTTATTTTATTTTTGAGACATAGTCTCATTCTGTTGCCCAGGCTGGAGTGCAGTGGCACGATCTCTGCTCACTGCAACCTCTGCCTTCTGGGTTCAAGCGATTCTCCTGCCTCAGCCTCGGGAGTAGCTGGGACTACAGGCGCCCGCCACCACGCCTGGCTAATTTTTTGTATTTTTAGTAGAGACGGGGTTTCACCGTGTTAGCCAGGATGGTCTCGCTCTCCTGACCTCGTGATCCTCCCGCCTCGGCCTCCCAAAGTGCTGGGATTACAGGTGTGAGCCACCGCGCCCAGCTTATTATTGTTTTAATTTGTATTTCCCTAATGACATATGATATGGAGCATCTTTTCATATGCTTATTTGCCATCTGTATCTCTTCTTTGGTGAGGCGTCTGTTTAGATCTTTTGCCCATTTTTTCAATCCATCTGTTCATGTTCTTATTGTTGAGTTTTAAGAATTCTTTGTATATCTTAGATAACTGTCCTTTATCAGATATGTCTTTTGCAAATATTTTCTCCAAGTCTGTAGCTTGTCTTTTCATTCTCTTGAAAGCATCTTTCACAGAGCAGATGTTTTTAATTTTAATGAAATCCAGCTTATCAGTTATTTCTTTCATGGATTGTATCTTCTTTGTTGTTTGCTAAAAGTCACTTCCATGCCCAAGGTCATCTGGATTTTCTCCTATGTTATATTCTAGGAGTTTTATAGTGTTGCATTAACTCAAAATGGTCTGAGATCCATTTTGCGTTCATTTTTGTGAAGGGTGTAACAGCGTCTGTTGATATGGTCGTGTGATTTTTCTTCCTTAGCCTGTCGATGTGATGGATTACATGAATTGATTTCCAAATGTTGAACCAGGCTTGCATACGTAGGATAAATCCCACTTAGTAGTGGTGTAGACTTCTATTTATACATCGTTGGATTCTACTTGCTAATATTTTGTTAGGAATTTTTGCATCTATGTTCATAAGATATATTGGTCTGTAGTTTTTGTTTCCTTTTCTTTCTTTCTTAAATTAAGACAGGGTCTCACTCTGTTGCCTAGGCTGGAGTGCAGTGGCACAATCAGGGCTCACCGCAGGCTCAACCTCCCAGGCTCAAACAATCCTCCTGCCTCAACCCCCCGAATAGCTGCGACTTTGGGTGTGCCCCACCACACTTGGCTAATTTTTTTTTTTTTTTTTTAACTGAGTCTCACTCTGTCACCCAGGAGGCTGGAGTGCAGTGGTGCGATCTTGGCTCAATGCAACTTCCACCTCCCGGGTTCAAGGGATTCTTGTGCCTCAGGCTCCTGAGTAGCTGGGATTACAGGCCTGGGCCACCATGACCAGCTAATTTTTGTATTTTTTGTACAGACAGAATTTCACCATGTTGGCCAGGCTGGTTTTGAACTCCTGACCTCAGGTGATCTGCCCGCCTCAGCCTCCCAAAGTGCTGGGATTGCGGGCGTGAGCCACCACGCCCAACCTTTTTTTTTTTTAATTTTAGTAGAGACAAGCTCTCACTATGTTGCCCAGGCTGGTTTTAAACTCCCTGAGCTCAAGCAGTCCTCTGCCTCAGCCTCCCAAACTGCTGGGATTATAGGCAAGAGCCATTGCACCCCGCCTTGTAGTTTTTCTTTCTGGAAATGTCTGGTTAAGGTGATGCTAGTCTCATAGAATGAGTTAGGAAAGGTGATGCTAGCCTTATAGAATGAGTTAGGAAGTATACCCTCAGTTTCTCTCTCTGGAAAGAGATTGTAGAGAATTTGGTATAATCTCTCCCTCAAGTATTTGGTAGAAGTCACCAGTGAGCCCATCTGGGCCTGGTACTTTCTGTTTTGGAAGGTTATTAATTACTGATTCAATTTCTTCTCTATTGCGGTTTCTTTTTAAGCTGTCTCTTATATTACTGCAGATTGTTGAACCATCAATTATGTATTGATTGTTTTTAGTCTGAATATTCAGGGTGATATTTTCTTTCCTAGTCCTCACTTTTCATGGGTGCCTCAGAGTAGAATTTGTACCCTTATCTTATGCACTTATTATAACAAGATATTCTTTTATTGTTAGCCCTATCCAGTCCAGGTCAATCATTTCACAGATGGCTGGAGGGATTATAGGAAATCCTACCACACAGACTAAAAAGAGACCCCCTGACCCAAAATTCTTTTTCTTTAAACAGCTTATAATTCTTTAAACAGTTTTATAATTCTTTAAACAGATATAATTCACATACCACATGATTCACTAGTTTTGGGGGGTTTTTTTAGTTTTTATTTTTATAGAGACGGGGTCTCACCATGTTGCCCAGGCTGATCTCAAATTCCTGGGCTCAAATGATCCTCCCACCTTGACCTCCCAAAGTGCTAGAATTACAGGCATGAGCCACCATGCTTGGGCTGACTCACCCTTTTAAGTATACAATCCAATAACTTTTCATATATTCACAGAGTTGTACAACCATCACCATGATCCACTTGAGGACATTTTCATTATCCCAGAAAGAAACACCATTATCTCTTAACTATCACTTCCCTAATCCTACTAGGGAAGCCATTGCCCAATCCTAACTCCAGACAACCACTCGTCTACTTCCTGTCTTTTTTTTTTTTTCACAGACAGAGCCTCGCTCTGTCACCCAGACTGGTGTGCAGTGGTACAATCTCAGCTCACTGCAACCTCTGCCTCCCGGGTTCAAGTGATTCTCCAGCCTCAGCCTCCCAAGTAGCTGGGATTACAGATGCCCACCACCACACCCAGCTAATTTTTGTATTTTTAGTAGAGGCTGGGTTTCACCATGTTGGCCAGGCTGGTCTTGAATTCCTGACCTCAGGTGATCCACCCGCCTCAGCCTCCCGAAGTGCTAAGATTACAGGCGTGAGCCACTGTGCCTGGCTTCAGTCCTATTTATGGTTGAGTAGTATTCCACTGTATGAATAGACCACAATTCGTTTATCCATTCGTCAGTTTGTGGATATCCGGGTTGTTTTCACTCGGGGCCGTTAAAGGCAATGCTGCTGTGAGCATGCCTGCACACGTTTTTGTGTGGATGGTGGCTTTCATTTCTCCTGGGTATATATACCTAGGAGTGGAATTGCTGGTAACCCTGTGTTTAAACTTTTGGGGAACGGCCATGCTATTTTGCACAATGGCTGCACTTTTTTACATTCCCATCAAAGGTGTGTAAAGGTTCCCATATCTTCATGTCCCTGCCATCACTTCTCATTCTCCATGGTTTTGACTGTGGCATCCTCGTGGACATAAGGTGGTGTCCCATTGTGGCTTTGTTTTTTGTTTGTTTGTTTGTTTGTTTTCAGACAGAGTCTTGCTCTTTTGCCCAGGCTGGAGTGCAGTGGTGTGATCTTGGCTCACTGCAACCTCTGCCTCCCAGGTTCAAGCAATTCTCCTACCTCAGCCTCCCTGGTAGCTGGGATTATAGGCGGGCACCACCATGCCTGGGTAAATTTTGTAATTTTAGTAGAGATGGGTTTTCACTATGTTGGCCAGGCTGGTCTCGACCTTCTGACTTTAGGTGTGATCCACCTGCCCGGGCTTCCCAAAGTGTTGGGATTACAGGCGTGAGCCCCTGAGCCCGGCCTCATTGTGGGTTTGACTTGCAGTTCCCTGCTGAGGAGTGGATCTTGACTGGGCTGGAACCACAGCTGCCTTTGGGTGGCCTTCTGCTGCTGTTACTTTCAGCTTCCCTGCCTCACCCTCAACCACAGACCGAGGGTGAACCCCTGAGTGCATTCTGCAGAGAGAAAGGCGCTTCTCAGCCTACAGCAGCGAGACTGGCACCTGCTTCCTCCCAGTTTTGCAGGAATTTCTCCCCATATCAGGTTTTCTTTAAGGGGCAGGTTTCCCAGATTGTTCTCTAACACTTAAAATCACTCACCTTATCTTTCCCCATTAAACAAGTACATCTTACCCAATTTCTATCCAGTTTTTAAAAAATCCCCCTTCCAGACAGGCAAGGGTCAGGATGAGCCAGGACCACCTAACCCCTCCACAGAGTTTCCCTGCCCAGCACAGCACCTCCCACCTCCCACCTCC